GTGGATTGATGCCATTCAATTAACTAGTTCTATTTGTTCTTGGACATTTCTGAGTAAACCATGTGATGTCAGACCTTGTAAGTCCTCTAGTACCATATTTAAAGGCCAGGAATTTCCAAATAATATTCTTTATAGCAGTAATATTTATACCGGTACATCAAAAGATCATCATTAAAAAAAATAATTAAATTGTAGATAATCTGATACAATAATCAATTTTAACAAATTTAATTGAAAGTAAGAACATATCTGACGTTAATTAAATGCATTGGTCAACAAAAAATAAAATTCCATGCGTTTTGAAATTGAAGTTCCATAACAAAATGAAATATTTCTTCTAGAACTATTGGGTATTTAAATATCATAGGTGCAGTGGTAAACTTTCACTACCATAGTTGGATGCTGAACATTTTCAGTGGTAAAACGTGACTTAAATCGTTATAAATGTTGTACCTAACGCTTACAGTGACAACTAGAGGATCAAACTCAATGTGTAGCAGTGGAAGATTTGACAGGAAACCCACTCAATACATCCTTCAGTTGAGTGGGACAATTGTTTTTAATTATTAATTCAACAGTGAAATAAATTCAAAGATGAAAGTCATTAGAAATATAAATAAGGGTTTTCATATTTTCTATATGTGACTTGATTTCATCTTATTTTTTTTTAAAAACTTGTTCTAATGGACCTCAGAAACATTCCTTGTTTTAAAACACTAATAATATCTAAAAAAAGCTAGTTTTTCTATCTTATCTTCTTAAGCATGTACGAAAATATATAAATATGAACTGATAATTCTCATTATTTTTATAACCAAAGTCAGGATTCTTGAATGTTTCTTGTATGATTCTTGTATGTTTCTTGTAAGAACCTCAAAATACCATAAATAAGAATAACTTTTTTTTTAGTTTAAAAATCATTTTGTTTTTTCAATATATTTTTTTTTCTGTTTTATTTTTTCAGAAGATTTTAAGCAGCAGAAATATCAACTAGAAGTATGCAAAATCTTAACTAATATATTAATTTGAAGGGTTGGCTAAAACTATGTAAACATAGAAAAATGTCAGGCTGATATAGATTAAAATCATTGGATTAAATAATGGCATACAATTTTGTTAAAATAGCCAAGATCACCAAAACTATACCTGACCTGCTGCTTTAAATGTTCACTCTTTTCTGGCAGACAGCAGACAAACAGTGTTCACAATCTATCAAAAGACCAACTGTGCCATATTTATGCATGAGAAATATGTTTTAAACTGTCATGAAGATCTTCACCAAAGAATTCAACTACTGTTACGACCATGTGATAAATGAAAGATGAAACGCATGTTTTTAGTAATAATTTGACTTTATAGTCTGTAATAAGATGTTCTGTTTCAGTCTTTGGTGTTGTCCCTTGTTTTACGAATAATTTGTTATAATGATCTTACCAAGTCCAATAACTCAGATCTGAAAAAAAATTTTTTCTAATCACAGAACAGCCAAATCTTTTGACAATGACCTAATTTATGAAAATGTGTTTTGTACCTTACTTCAGGATGTGTAGTTGTTTATACAATTACACCTGATTATATTGTATGGATAACCAGATACACAACTAAGATATCTTTTTCTTTTAAACTTAAAGATTTTCAAAGTATTTGCTCTACCCAAATGTGGAAAAACTTTTTAATTGTAAAATCTTATCTCTATTTTGTTCTGTTACATTTTAAATTAAAACATTTTGAAGTTGAGGTACATTTCAGTACATTTGGTATCACATCATTTAGTTTCTGTCAAAAGATCACACAAGTTTGTGATTTTTATTCAACAAATTTTTTTTATATTATAATTATAACAATGATTTTTAAAAATCTTAATTTTTATGGTTGTGAAAGATTTCATGATTTGACATGTTTTGTCATCAGCTAGGCTTTAAGATCTTGTCAGTTATTATTATGGTCAGGGCTTACTCACGGCTTATTTTAATTCCTCTTAATACATTTTTATTATCAACAGACTTTTCACAATGGATTATTTGAGAATATATTTTATCTCTTATTTTGCTTGAATCTTTCTTAAGTCCTAGCCATTTATTTGAGCACTGTTTTTTTACTCTAGTGTATTTTTGAATTAATGTTATTCTCCCCAAACATTGGTTGCAAGTCTGAGGAGCACATTTCTATCATTAGGATATTTTTGGGGATAATTTTTAAAATCTATGTGTATTTCATTTCATGGAATATTTGTTCATTTAAATGTTGTATTATCATGAACCAATGTTTATCACCCAGGTAGCTTTGCATAATCATCTGAACTGCACTGACTCTGGGCAGCATTCTGTTTCAGTGCCAGCAGACAGTTTTCAAACTCTAATCATGCAGGTACATCTATCCTTCTACAATATCCCTGCTTTATTTTTGCAATTGAAGTTCAAGCTCATTACTATTGATGAACTTCCATGGAATTTTTCCTTACAAAAAAAATAAATAAAAACTGTGCCAGTACCGATATTGAAATAGTAGTAGTAAAATTTCTGAACTAGATATTCTGTTGTTATATTATGCTGAATGGGGTGGGGTTGACAGAATGTAAAGTTGACTACCTCACATCATTTGACTAGACAACGAGACATGCTAATGTATGGATCTGACCTATAACCTTCCTCTATATATTTAAATATATATTACATAATATGAGTTGAATTGTTTTTCAGACACCTTACTGTCATTGTAATACTTTGTTTCATCACCTGTCTTCCAGCTTCCTTACTTCTAGTATTAAATTATATTGTCAGCCATTCAGACAAAACCCTCATTCAGAGAGAACTGATTTTGGTGCTAATACTAGGTTGAGCTTTTTTAGACATACAGTTTTCACTGTTTTTGAACTTTACTAAGAACTTGAGAAATATGTTAGCAACGACATGAATTGTCGGTGGTGTCAAAGATAAAATAAAAGCTTTGACATGCAAAATTAAATAACACTGCAAAAGGGGGATTTAGATCTACATAATATTGAACAGTTCAACAACATAATTGCAGTCCATTCAGTAATATGTTTTTTTAATGATTCAATTCTTTCATCAACATTTCATAGCATTAAATTTGCTATTGTTTAAATAATGATATGGATGCAATTTGAGCTAAAATGTTGTGTAATGTTCAATGAATGTTAGAGAATGCATTTCCTGAATCCCCATCTTTTATGCATAATAAAACCTGAACAAGTACAATTGCTTATGACTTCAGGTAAAATAAGGCGGACAAGGGACCTGTGGTGGCTAGCTTTAAATTTGTCACTCCAAATGTACACCAAGTAACTAGATTGCAAGATTCATTCATTTTATCCTGCATGTAGTAGAAAAATAAATATAACTTGTCACCAGATGTTTTAAAATTCCTTCTCCTCCCAACTTTGGCTGACATGAGCGTCATTTATGTCCATTCCGTGATACTCTTAATCATATGAAAGTTTTTAGTTATGTTGATTGGCTTTTTAATGACACACAGTGTAAGGAAGAATTTTTCTTCCCTGCACTACAGTGAATGGAGTTTCCAAATCTTCCTTCTAGGTCTGACAAAAAGATTTTTTCAAGAATTTATATTTGTCATATTTTATTATTTGTCAACTTCATATTAAGAATTAAAATGTTTTGTAATTAATAAATTCCTTTCTTTTTTTTTTTTTTTTTTTTATTAAAGGAGAGAATGGTATACATTTATAAAAATTTTAAATATTTTTCTTTGTTTACAGATCCTTGGTTATCATATAACAATTATGGGTTTTATTCTCAAGTCAATTTTTTCCTTTGTCTAATTTATATTTGTCATATTTTATTATTTGTCAACTTCATATTAAGAATTAAAATGTTTTGTAATTAATAAATTCCTTTCTTTTTTTTTTTTTTTTTTGTATTAAAGGAGAGAATGGTATACATTTATAAAAATTTTAAATATGTTTCTTTGTTTACAGATCCTTGGTTATCATATAACAATTATGGGTTTTATTCTCAAGTCAATTTTGTCCTTGGTCTACTGTTAATAATAATATGTGTTGATAATTTTGGGTGAGCTACATGATTTCCCAAAAATATTTATTCCGCCAGTCTGTAAATTTCCCTCATCCTGCCAGTCTAGTGGGTAATTTCAAGTTTTCAATTGAATTATGAGTCAGTTTTAATGATTGAACAAAACAAAGTAATAAAAAGACATTTTTATTTTTGAAGTAACAATATCTGGTCTGCAACAGAATGATAGTCTTAACAGTTTGAAATTAGGGGGGGGGGGGGTCAGGGAAGAAAAAAAACAAATTTTAAAAAAAATAGGTTTTAAATAAACCGCCACTGATATATTGATATTACACTAGAAAAATATCCAGGGATATGGATATATAGAATATTTCAAAGAGTGATGAAAAATACTTAGTTCATTTGCTCTTTCATAGAACTTTGTAAACATATCCGGCAGCAAGTTTAACCATAACGTTTTCTTTTCTCAGGAGTTTTTGTTTTCCCCCTCTCAGTTCAATTCACTGCAAGTTGAAATCCTGTTTGAAAAAAATATAATTTTTAAAATACCAGCTTAATAATGGCATATAAGTATACAACACATCTGCCTTATTACTAGCAATATTTGATAAAGCCTACCCTAATTAGTAATATTCTAATTCTGACCTTGTATTGTTGCTATTTAGTGTCCATTGCCTTCACTTGTTTTTCCTTTCTTTTCTTTGCAGATGCTTGTTTGGCCTTTAAAAATAAGTGTGTTAAAATCTGTTACACAGTCACTCTTCTAAACAATAAATCATTTAAGACCCACGCCTACAAACAATTCACAAAAATATAAACTCTACAATCACATTGAATGACTTGAAATTCATTGAATAAAAGTAAAAAAATGACTAAATATAAGCAACAAAACTTAGTTATAAAGTCATAACTGTGTAGTTATAAAGTCATAACTGTGTAACAAAGAGCTTAAAATGTATGTCATGAAAGTTTTCGGAAAAAATTTTGTTAACAATAAATCATGTAAGTGCCACTGACCTTTTCAATTAATGGTAGAAGTTGTTTCCCTTCAGCTAAAATTTTGAGAAGTTCCATGATGAAGGGAAGATAATTGTGTCTTCGTCTAATATTCTCAACCTGTTGAAAAAACAAAGATTTTTGTCTGAATATGAATTATAAAGGAGTGAATATTTTTGGTGAGAAGTTTATAAATAAAATTTTAGAGTTTTTTTAAAAAAGATCTCGCCCACCATATTTCCCAACTGTAACTAACTTTAAATACAGAAAATTTCAAATTCATCTACACATTGCTACTTAATTTCTAATATTTCCTATTTACTTTTCATACTATCAGATACACAAAACATTCTATGTACCTTGTATCTCTCTTCCTTTCTGTTTTCTTCACCAATCAAATATCCCAGTCTGCTTATCTCAACTTGTAAATCACCAGATTCCATTCCACTGCTCTGTATTGACAAAAGTAGTGGATCAAATCATGGTAGAAAGGTTCAATTATCCAGTAGCAGGTAAAAAAAAAAAAAAAGAAGAAAAAAGATTATTTAACGCATTTCATAAATAGCACAAACAATGATGGGTATATCAAACAAAAAATTATGCCTCTAAACATTGCGTTGGTACCCCTTGCCTCATAAGATTGGTCTGAGATGCAGATTCCCCCCAGCTTGCATTTTGAAAGACTTTGGTAGTAAACATTGTCTATGAAAAACTTTAGCCAGGCTTTGACTTTATTTTGCTGGCATCCGTCCGTCACAATGTGACGATGAATGTGACGATGGAGTGGGCTTCGGAGGACGAAATCCACATGGCCTGGGATTATACTTCAAGGATTATAAGCTGGTTCCCAACAGCAAATCGCCTCTCTCCACGCCGCTGGGTAACCCAAGGGAACATCATTGGATGATACAGCTTGGCACCAGTGACGTCGCAGGAGTTGCCGGAATGTTTCATTGTATCAATGTTATCCGCCTTTCGGGACTCCATCTCCGGGTTTGATTTCAGAGTTTCCTTCTCTTAGATGAGTTGCCATCCAAGGTTAACGAGTCTCATCTACCCAGGGTGCTGGTGGTGTTAATGCTTGACTGGGCTCTGGCTGGAATTGAACTCCAGACCACCAACTTGAGATTTGCTCAGTTTAGACGATTCGGCCACCCAGCACCCAACTTTACTTTATACAAGTACAGTAAAGAACAGGGGTCACCAAACTACGGCCCATGGGCTGGATCGCCTGGGATCCGATCCACTGACAGTACTTGAACTTGCTTGATAAAACATATGGAACACGAGACATGGTGATACAATTTAAATTTCAATATTATGTTTATAACATTAGGAGATCTTCACACGCGCGGAGACCTCCAGGCTGCTATGCGCCTTAAATTTACCATTTTCAATTTTAAATTATTGTATCTAGATTTTCTTGTTTATTTGCAGACTTGTTTACCCTGGAACTCCTAAAATCGTACAACATCGTCTCAAAATCGTACAACATCGTCTCAAAATCGTACAATATGGTATCTTAATAGTAAATAAATAAACATACAGTACCGGTATGTAAAATGAATACCATAACTACTCGCATCGCAGTGTCTAGTTGGATCGAGTTAAGCTGGCGTAAAAAAAGTTAACTACTAAAAGAAGATGACCAACGTTTGTTATATAATCTGTGGTCACTTTATTTTACAGATGTGTATTTGCTATTGATATTAATTTATATTGAGTGGACATACAGATCACATTATCGCAGTCTATCACTGGTAAAAAAAAAAAAAAGTTACTGGTGAAATTTAATGTGGTTCAAACTAGAAGTCAGATGAGCATAAAACAAGATGTATTTAAATAAGAATTAATTAACAAATGATGACATCATTTAAAAAACCTACCAAGTAACTTAAAAGGTTGTTGTTTTTAGGAAAAGATGGTTTAAAAAAATATATAAAATAAAAATCAATTTCCATTAAGCATATTCCTGCTAATATATTATAATTACCACAAACTTGGTAGTAAATGGGTGAAAGAAAGAGTCTAGTGTTGGAAACATACAGGGACATTAAAAATCATAGTCGCGGCGGTTGGAACTAACAACCCTTCGGCAAGTTCAGTTTTTCTTTGGCACTGGATGAGTCTACTGATCTCTCACAACTTCTCATGTTTATGTGTGGTGTCAATTTGGACTTTCAGATAATGGAAGAGTCAGCATACTTTTGCAGCATGCATGGAACAACTTATGTCTGTGAGCAAACATTTTCAAAAATGAAGTATGTGAAGTCAACACATCGAACGAGAGGGATTGAAGAACATTTTAAAACAATTCTTTTGATTTGATGCAACAATTCCAAACAAAACATTGATGATATAATGAAAGCCAAACATCCGTTTCACAAATCTCACTAACCTGTTTAGCTGCTTAGTTTGTGAGATTTGAATATTTGCGCAATACATCTAATGTAACTATCTTTTTGCTTACGTCGCCTTCTTTGCTAACTTTTTTAGTAAATAATTATGTTGGTTGTCATTGCTTTTTTACATTGCACGCCAATAACCCATGATTAACATGGAATACTAAACTTAGTTTCTTTGTCTTTTTTATTGTAGAGAATGACTATCTGGCCCGGGCTCATCATTTTTTACCGCTATCAGGCCCGACGTGAAAAAAGTTTGGTGACCCCTGGTATAGATCAATGTCTATGGGTCAATGAAGATGCCAGTTTTAATAATTGGTGCCAGTGACACCATTCGATGACTAATATACAGAACAACCGATTGCTTACCTCCACAATAGAGCTCAGCTCTTGCAACCGATTGCTTACCTCCACAATAGAGCTCAGCTCTTGCAACCGATTGCTTACCTCAACAATAGAGCTCAGCTCTTGCAACCGTTTGCTTACCTCCACAATAGAGCTCAGCTCTTGCAACCGTTTGCTTACCTCCACAATAGAGCTCAGCTCTTGCAACCGATTGCTTACCTCTACAATAGAGCTCAGCTCTTGCAACCGTTTGCTTACCTCCACAATAGAGCTCAGCTCTTGCAACCGATTGCTTACCTCCACAATAGAGCTCAGCTCTTGCAACCGTTTGCTTACCTCCACAATAGAGCTCAGCTCTTGCAACCGATTGCTTACCTCCACAATAGAGCTCAGCTCTTGCAACCGATGCTTACCTCCACAATAGAGCTCAGCTCTTGCAACCGTTTAGCATATGTTCGTTTTCTATCAGAAACAACAGCCATCAAATTGAAATGAATCTCATCAGCACTGTACCTGGAGGGCAAATAAACGGTCACTTACAATGGAGGGCAAATAAAGGTTCACTTACAATGGAGGGCAAATAAACGGTCACTTACAATGGAGGGCAAATAAAGGTTCACTTACAATGGAGGGCAAATATAGGTTCACTTACAATGGAGGACAAATAAAGGTTCACATACAATGGAGGGCAAATAAACGGTCACTTACAATGGAGGACAAATAAAGGTTCACTTACAATGGAGGGCAAATAAAGGTTCACTTACAATGGAGGGCAAATAAAGATTCACTTACAATGGAGGACAAATAAAGGTTCACTTACAATGGAGGGCAAATAAAGGTTCACTTACAATGGAGGACAAATAAAGGTTCACTTACAATGGAGGGCAAATAAAGGTTCACTTACAATGGAGGACAAATAAAGGTTCACTTACAATGGAGGGCAAATAAAGTTTCACTTACAATGGAGGACAAATAAAGGTTCACTTACAATGGAGGGCAAATAAATTTTCACTTTGAAATAGTCCATATATTTTTAATTACATTCATAGGCCATTAATTTTTAAGGTACTTACATTATTGTATTTCGAATTTTAGATCAGAATTCATAGTTTCTTTAAACTTACTTCTGCATCCTTTTTTCAATCACAGGTCTAACAATATCTACCCAATCTTTGTCTGCTGGGATTGCCCCTGAGAACAAAAATAAGATATGATATTTTTATAAGATAAGATCTGTTTAGGTCCGCCTATGACCTGTGATGCACCCTCCTTGCCCTGCCTCATTTTCTGTCTCGGGTTGATCCTGTAGTATAGGCCAAAACGTGCCAAAGTGTCCTTGTTTTATAGCCATTTTAATTGTTTCTATAGTATAGTAGTTACTATCCTAGTGTCTCATTTTTATTTTACTCAGTTTACATGTTTTTAATAATTGTAAAGCGCTTAGAGCTTTAAGGTAAGCGCTATATAAAAATGCCTAAATAAATAAATAAATATTTACTGCATGAAAAAAGGAAAGTAACTCCGTTTTGCCATTGATTTGTACAAAAATAATTACTAATAAATTAAATAAGGATAAATGAATCAAGAAATGTAGTAGGTTTAATAAAAAAATAAATAAAATTAATGGCAAAAAAAAAATGTGTAATGACCAAAATGTAGATTTTCAGCAGCTCAGATGAACACATGCTAAAGCATACATAGTCATAGATTGAAAGTGAAACAAGATAAAAATTTCAGTTTTATAAAACTGAAATCATTCCATCACCAGAAGTGGTACAAAATACAAAGGATACAAAATTTCATTGCTATTTTTCAATAAAAATGAAAGATTTACGTCGCTAGCCACCGGGACTCATCCATTGGAACCCCCAAAGAATGCATTTAGACACAACTTTTGGGAAAGAGTAAAAAAAACTGCATAAAAATAATTACCCAGATCAACTGGTCCACTTTTTAAACCATCTAGTTCATATAAACGACCATCAATAGGGAGGTAACTGACAAAATGGAAAACATCATCATCTTTCTTGGAAATCTTTTCATCAAACTCAAACATTTGTTGTCTGTGAAAGTAAAAACAAAATATTGAATAATTAAAAAATTTATTTGCTTAATAAAACCTATGCTAATTACATGGAATCATTTATGACAACAATGGTAAATGGTCCTTAGATGTTAAGAGCATACAAAGATGTAATGTAATATTTTGCACATTTACCTTGAAAAACTGTTGTGAACATCCCTTATGGTATCTGAGTTACTCATACTAAGACCACGAAGCTAGGAAGATATTAATGTTATTCAAACAATCTGAACCAATAGACTATTAGATTATATTTATCACAACCAACTCATTAGGGTCATGTCAAAAGTCAAGAAACATTTTGAGGCTTTTTTTTTTTTAATGAGTTTTTTTTCCCTTTAATTTTGTTGATTTGACGATATTGAATACTTAATTTTTAAAATTGACTATAATAATTTTTTTTTTGATTTTTTACTTTCAGTTATTTTTTTTTTATTTTTTTTTTTTTTTCATTTTTAATGTTTTTTTTTTTTTAATGAGTTTTTTTTCCCTTTAATTTTGTTGATTTGACGATATTGAATACTTAATTTTTAAAATTGACTATAATAATTTTTTTTTTGATTTTTCACTTTCAGTTACTTATTTTTGATGTTTTTTTTTTTTCCCAGAGGTTTAAGTCAATGAAAAATCAAAGTTTTTTTAATTACAGTCAATTTTTAAATTTTATTACTATTATAAAAGTTAGGAAATGGGGTAGAAGTTGAGTAGAATTCAGGAATAAGAAAAATAAGAAATTAAAAAAAACTGTGTAAGACTTTAACTCTTTCCTGAAGGTTGTGAGTAAATGCTTCACTCAGGACTTCCGGTAATGGCATGATTTTGCATGATTTCAATTTATAAAAATAGAGCAATTCTTTTTATCTTGTTTCACTTTCAATCTTTGTGAGCTTTAGAGCGTCTAGCTTGTGTTCATCCGAGGTGCAAAAAATCTATTTTTTTTAGTCACTTCTCGTTATTTGTTCGACATTAATATTATTTTCTTTTAAATACCTAATTCCCTCCTGGAAGAATTTATCTTTAATTCAATAATATTAATTAATATTTAGCAGCTAAAAAAAATGTGTGTAAATCAGTTGCAAAACGGAGTTACTTCCCTTTGTTCTGGTATATCAAGTCAAGAAAGTAGCACTGCTGTCAGGAATGAGTTAATGACTAAAAAAAAACGTACAATTGTTTTAACATTTCTTATCCTGATTTAGAAAGATGGTGTCTTAATTTAGTTTTAATAGTTATTGAAAGGTTAAAAAAGGTCAATTAGAAAAAAATAACACTGTTAAAGAAACAAACTAACCCCTGGATCAAGATCCTGAGCAAAGTCTTTAAAATTAGATAAGGTATCTCCCAGCTCAATATCTTCATGATTACAGTTTAATAAAATGCTCAAAATGGCTTGTGTGGCACATGCATTGTTGATGACCTGGTAAATACGTAAAGAAATGTGTACTATTATATGTTTGAAAATGAAGATTTTTTTACAATGGTATATTACAGAAAGTTTCACATAAAAGACCAATGGCAGGCCAGAATTTCAATTAAAATCAAAGGCAGCTTAAATATTACAATTTATATAAACAAGATCTTTTATAAAATAATCAGTGTTGACATGCTAGCCTTTTTACTTATAGAAATCATAAATATCTACTATTCATTTTTTAGCCTTTCTTATATGAATTAAGACAAAAAAGTAAAGCTGAACTCATAAAATTAATTTGGCAACTTTGCTATTTATAAACACCAAATTAAAAAATCTAGCACAATTACGGTATTCAATAACAAAATTAGTATGGAGTACAAACAGGTTATTCATCGTAGCCTTATAAAAAACGATCACATTTCAAATATAATTTCTTACCTGAGATGCAAAAAATATTTTTTGTAACCTACTATCCTGGACGATGGACTCGTCAGGTTCTGAATTGGGTGACCATTTGAAGAGAAATATAAGCCCATGAACTGGTCTAAGTAATATAAAAATGCGATAACTTTCAATATAAAAAATTATATCATTTTTAAACACTTCCTAAATTTACTTTTTAGTAAGTACATTATCATCAACACAAATTTTAAAAATAATTTTTGAAATTTCTAGACAAGACATTTTCTACTCTTTGTCTTATTTTAAATTTTTTTATCTTTAATTAAGAGATGTATTAACTCTTTCTCTCCGGAATTACTTTCCGCGTTCTGACGGAATTATCTATTTTGCGTTTTTGGAACGCACTACTATGTTGTCTCTAAACCTTCATAACTTTTTTGTTTTTCATAAGAAAGTGCTAAGTGTGGTATGGATTTAAAGGAGAATGTATGCCCTTTACAAGCAAACCAGACTTGGGTTTAAATTTTAATATATAAATGTGATTATCATTACAGAAAAATAAAAATTAAAGATAAAAAACTTACCAACTGTTCACAAACGCTCATTCCAAGTCACACGAGGAGAAATATATAATCCAAAGTGTAACAAAAATTTTTTTTTTTCTGAACTATATCCATATGTGCATCACAAATAATAAAGATCAACTTAAAAAACGAATAAAATTAAACCTCAGAGCACATTATCCATTGTCACTGTCACACAAAAAATTTGCGAAAATTTTGTTACTATTTCCACTGGAAACAATTTGTTGCTATTACAAAATATTTGCACTGTATTCTTGTATCTACTAACATTTATAATGGTAAATGGAACATTTACAATACATTTGTCATATCTTTTCATCTGTATTTAGCTATGCTAAGCCTAAAAACAATTCATATTGATGTGCACTTTAGCTGGGGGAGGGGCTGGTTGTTCATCAGCTGATGAATTACCAATTTCATTATTTCGTCACTAGTACTACTAATACTAGTAGTACTAGGATTATAATCATATACTATTCAAAGGAATCAGCTTCTGCATTTGAAATAATAAAATCACTGTCTGAATCATCATCAGAGTAATATTTTCCACCTTTATTTGATCGGTCACCAGATGGGTCAGGTCAAGATTTCATGTTTGTAAACAAAAATAAAATGGACAATCCAAACAACCGCTTCAAACAATTCGTTCTTCATTCAAACACAGTAAAACCGGATGTTTATGAAAGGGAAATCATTCTAGAATTGATTTAAAATAACTAAATACCAATAGCTAAGAAAAGAACCGAAATAAACAGGTTTTTATACATAGACGATGCCATCGTCGATACGCCAAAATCTTCATTTCAAATCGACGATGAGAGCGTTGTTCCGGAGAGAAAGAGTTAAAGAAATAATGTTAAAGCTTTTCAAGCACAGGAACTTAATGCAGCCAGCAAAATGCACTCCAAAATTCAATATGAAAAGATTTAAATATATTGGCAACTTGCACCTTTGAATTGTAGAGTTTTAATTTTTTAAATTTTCTCTTCAATTTAGCTTTAAATATTTTTTAATATTGTTAACGCCTGAACCAGCTCTGAAAGATATAATATAGATCTAACTAAAGAAAACGAGCTGAAAGGCACATGCCCAAATGGATCTGGATAATTAACTAAATAAAATGAGCCTATTTTTGTTATCTAATTATATAATAATATTGTTAAAAAGATATTTAAGGCTTACTTCAATGATTCAAAGCTCTCTGGATCTAGACTCCAAATTTCTTCAACTTGAACACCCCTGCATCCTGTTAAAGTTAATTAAGAAATCAAAGTAAATTTTGTTGATGTTTACAAATTGAAGATAAAAATTTTCAAAATAATTTTCTTTTATAATTTTTTTTTTAAAATCAAGAATTTGAAAAATTATGATTTAGTATCAAATTTAAAGAATTTAAAAATAAAAATACAGCAAAAGTTAAATGTAAACCTATATAATAGGTATGATCTTTGTGTTCTGCACACTCAACTGGTTCAGCTGACAATGAGAAATATTGGGGACTGGAATATTTGGATAGGGGGGGGGGGGGTGGGGTTTAGAAAGAGAGAGGGGGTTCATGGGATGTATTAAACTGTGATATCAAAATAAATATGATATGATTCTGATGAGTATGAGGTATAGCCTACAATTATAAAGATGGGCTTACACTTTAGATTAGTTACTTAGTCAGTCATGGCATATTTAGGGTTTGTACTTACTACTAGCACTAGGCCACCCACAAAAAAATATTTTTTGACACCCACCCCCCTTCCGGAAAAGAGCATATGTATATGCATGAGGCCAAGCCAAGTTGCCCCTCCCTCCATACAAGGCGCATTCACCCAAGAGGGGGGGGGGTGATCATCCCCCCCACCTTTTCCCCATCTATGCCACTGCATTTAATTTTTGGCAGTGTCTATATCTCCCGCACTATTTGTCCAGCGACCAAGTCACATGACCGCCGTAACAAAGTGGCGAGAGATATCTCGGTCAGCCTTGTCACATTGACTGCGAATGATTCAAACTATTATTAATTCTAAAATCTCTCTACCAAGTAATGTACTGAGTATCTTGAATGCAAATAATAGCAAAAAACTTAAGTGAAAGTGGCTTGTAAACATTTTTGTTTAAGTTTGTTATTTGAGTTTGTGTACCAGCAACCCATAAAATAAATTAGGGGCCAGTGTGGAGTAGGCAACCAATAAAAGTAAAAGATTTCATTTTAAATTGTTTAAATTGCTACAAAATATTTAAAAACTTCACATGAAACTACTGTTGCTGAGGAACATGATAATATAAATATATATAAAATATTTTTAATTAAAATGGGAAGAAAAAAAAAACGATCCTATCCTCGGTATTGATCCTCAAACAATCGTATCGTCAAGCGACAACTGAACCACAAGACCACACAAGATCTACCTAATCAAACTACGTTCAGAATTATAAAAACTACTAGCCGTCCGGCGATCACATTTTCCGATGTGTGTGTCTATTTATTATTAAATTAGTTCTTTCCACATATATTTGAGTTCCGTTTCCGGCCTTATAATTTGGAAGACATCTTGGCCTACATTTCTAGCCAGTTATTTTGCTTTTTTCAATCGACCTTTATTTTGAAAATCTTTGGTATATATAAGGCATCTTCGCATACAAAATTTTTTGTGAAATAATAAGATAAGGTCCTTTTTTATTAAATCTGTATGAGCATTAGATATTGATCTATATCTGTGCCAAGTTTCATTGATGTAGGTCGTGTCTCACGTTTGTTACACTTGTCACAGTGACCCATATCACCATAAGGTGGCTCAGCCTAATTTCGACATGGCGTGGGCCACGCCCCCTTTTTAATGGCGGAAGTTGCCGATACTTAGGAAATATTTAATTATTACCACTATATACATCAAAATATTTTATATTTTGTGTTTCAGAATGCATTTTGAAGACATTTAAACTGGAAATGTTTTAATTTGAGCTTTAAAAACCCTGCAGAGTCCATAATATAAATGATCAGAATTTTCCCTGTGCAACACGTTGTCATTGGCAACCATTCACAGCCACTTGCATAACGGCTACGTCGTAGTACTATCTCAGAGTTTCATTCATAAGAGTTTGCCGTGTGCAAAAGCTATTAAACCATTGGTCAGGGAAAGCTTTTATTAATTATTCATGTGCCAAAGTTGAAAGTTTAAAATAAGTCGACCCTAAACAGTATTTTAGTGATAGGGAATGCGTTGCCTTATATAAACTATATAGTCATTGCGCATGACGCGATCAGTGGAATGAGGTCACAGAATGTGGAGATGCAGTCCATGTTAAAAAATGACAAACCAAGTCGTACTTTAAAAATTCATAACTTTAAAACTACAACAGCTAAAAATATGATTTTGGTGTTATAATTATGTTTAAAATTAGCTCTATTCAACTGTGCCATTGGTTTATTTTTAAAAAAATGTTTACATTTTTGACCAAAGTATCTACATTGGTTTATTTTTAAAAAATGTTTACATTTTTGACCAAAGTATCTAGAATGGTAAATAATGGTCACTGAAAATGCCACAAAATACATCGTATTAACACTAACCAAAGCCTTTAATTAGCTCGGTAAAAACTCCTGGATCACTTTCTATCAAGCACCAATCACCTGCAGACCCCATGACAGTGATGGCAGTGTTAAAAATATATTTATGAACTTTAGATGTAAATAATAATGTCAATGCGTGAAATGTGTGGCTTGAATGTGTATTATTTATTTTTAATGGCGTATTTAGTTGAATTTATATATATTATTAGTATCGATACTCTATACTGTCTACCCTTCATTGTCATGTATATTTATTTAAAAATGTAAGCATACATCTTTTTAATAAAAGAATAAATTTTATTGCATGGAAATTAAAATTAATAATGAAAAATAAAGAGTTATGAATTTTATTTCTATTGTAATTTTTTACTTATTTATGAATCGATATCACCCATATAAGGGATTCTTTAAGTTTTTAACTTCCGGGGTAATTAATTAACTCTTTTTTTAAAGATTGTAATGAAATATTAATTAATTTATCGTCTTTTTCTGATTCGATATTTCACTAAATACATTTGTAGGTGGCTAAAGCGAAAATCCTCCAAATTTTGGGAGAATAACTGGCACAGGGGCTCACATGTTGTGACAAGACACGGCACCTACCAAAGTGGGCACCAGTACATCTTCAAAAACTTATTTATTAAAATGTAGGACTATCCATAAAGAACACGCACTCTTCAACTCAGTCCTTACTGAGAGTTCCCAGCGTGGATTGACACAGAAAGAAGTCAAACTGGGCTTGAATGTGTAGAATGATAAAAAAAACAACCTTGATATACGGTAATAAATTACCAATTTTCATCGAATGAATATATTGCACTAAAAAAATATATTTTGTTTAAATCTAAAAGTTTGAAGTATGATAATGCTTGAATGAAAATATCACTTCATTCGAATTTTTTTTCCATAAAATCGTTATTTCAAGAAAACGATTTCCTCATCTGTTGACAGGTATCATCTATATAATGTATAATCTGTGACAGGTATCATCTATATAATGTATAATCTGTGACAGGTATCATCTATATAATGTTTAATCTGTGACAGGTATCCTGTACGTTAGGGATCATCTGCGTCAGGTATCATCTATGACAGATATTATCCGTGTCAGTATCATCTGTGACAGGTATCATCTGTGTCAGGTATAATCTATGACAGGTATCATCTGTGTCAGGTATAATCTATGACAGGTATCATCTGCGTCAGGTATCATATGTGACATGTAAAGTCTCTTTTAAGAATCATCTGTGACAGGTATCATCTATAAAGGTATCATATGTGTCAGGTATCAACTGCAAAACATCTCATATGTGTCAGGTATCATATGTCATTATTGTGTCAGGTATCATGTGTCAGGTATCATATGTGTCAGGTATCATATGTGTCAGGTATCATATGTGTCAGGTATCAAATGTGTCAGGTATAATATGTGTCAGGTATCATCTGTGACGGATATCATATTTGTTTGGTATCATCTATGACAGGTATTATCTGTGTCAGGTATCATCATGCCAATTATCATCAATGTAATTTACCGGTATCATTAGTGTCAGGTGCAAAATAGATATTGGCGTTGGTAAGGGGCTAATGGTTTGGTCCGGGTCGTACTTCAGACTGAGAAAAAAGGGGGGTGGGGGGTTTCGAGTGGAAAGGCATGAGGAAAAATCGCTGCCTACCCCGGGTGGTACTATCCATAACAACACCACTGTCCATCCTATCCCGAGTGGTACTATCCATAACAACACCACTGTCCATCCTAACCCGAGTGGTACTATCCATAACAACACCACTGTCCATCCTACCCCGAGTGGTACTATCCATAACAACACCACTGTCCATCCTACACCGAGTGGTACTATCCATAACAACACCACTGTCCATCCTAACCCGAGTGGTACTATCCATAACAACACCACTGTCCATCCTACCCCGAGTGGTACTAACCGTAACAACACCACTGTCCATCCTAAACCGAGTGGTACTAACCGTAACAACACCACTGTCCATCCTAACCCGAGTGGTACTAACCGTAACAACACCACTGTCCATCCTACCCAGAGTGGTACTATCCATAACAACACCACTGTCCATCCTACCCCGAGTGGTACTAACCGTAACAACACCACTGTCCATCCTAACCCGAGTGGTACTAACCGTAACAACACCACTGTCCATCCTACCCCGAGTGGTACTAACCGTAATAACACCACTGTCCATCCTAACCCGAGTGGCACTAACCGTAACAACACCACTGTCCATCCTACCCCGAGTGGTACTAACCGTAACAACACCACTGTCCATCCTACCCCGGGTGGTACTATCCATAACAACACCACTGTCCATCCTACCCCGAGTGGTACTCTCCATAACAATACCACTGTCCATCCTACCCCGAGTGGTACTAACCGTAACAACACCACTGTCCATCCTACCCCGAGTGGTACTATCCATAACAACACCACTGTCCATCCTACACCGAGTGGTACTATCCATAACAACACCACTGTCCATCCTACCCCGAGTGGTACTATCCTTAACAACACCACTGTCCATCCTACCCCGTGTGGAACTAACCATAACAACACCACTGTCCATCCTCCCCCGAGTGGCACTAACCATACTATCCATAACATCACCACTGTCCATCATACACCGAGTGGTACTATCCGTAACAACACCACTGTCCATCCTACCCCGAGTGGTACTATCCGTAACAACACCACTGTCCATCCTACCCCGGGTGGAACTAACCATAACAACACCACTGTCCATCCTACCCCGAGTGGCACTAACCATAACAACACCACTGTCCATCCTACCCCGAGTGGTACTATCCATAACAACACCACTGTCTACATGTTTTATTTAGACTCATTGTTAAAATGATAGGCATGCCTGCACGTGAAATTAAACTCCCAACAACTAACTGCCCCCACTAACTACCTCCACTAACTACCCCCACTAACTGCCTCCACTAACTACCTCCACTAACTGCCTCCACTAAATGCCCCCACTAACTACCTCCACTAACTGCCTCCACCAACTGCCCCCCACCAACTGCCTCCTCTAACTGCCTCCACTAACTGCCTCCACTAACTGCTCCCACTAATTATTCCACTAACTGCCTCCACTAGCTGCCCCCACTAATTACCTCTACTAACTGCCTCCACTAACTCCCCCCCACTAACTACCTCCACTAACTGCCTCCACTAACTGCCCCCACTAACTGCCTCCACTAACTATCTCCACTAACTGCCTCCACTTACTGCCCCCACTAACTGCCTCTACTAACTGTCTCAACTAACTACCTCCACTAACTATCTCCACTTACTACCTCCACTGTTTGCCTCCACAAACTACCACAACTAACTACCTCCACTAACTACCTCCACTAACTATCTCCACGTACTGCCTCCACTAGCTACATCCACTAACTACCTCCACTAACTACCTCCACTAACAGCCTTCACGCTTGAGCGACGAAAAATCCCCCAGTTTCCTATCTCTAAACACAAGAATCTTGTTTCCGTCTATTTCCTCTTTGTTTAAAACGTGTTCAAATCAAAGCTATATTTTAAATCAAATTGTGTGGCCAGTCTGTCCCACTTTCTCTTTCACCCACTTTCTCAATTCTTTACATTTCAACTCTATATCTACTCACCCACAGTTCCATCTATGCTAGTGGCGTCTACACGGAAAATTGGGGGGGGGGGGGGGTCCCTTCCAATTTGGGTTGGATGGAAAAAACCCCCCCCCCCCCCCCCCCCCCCCCATTTTTTTTCCTGCCAGCCTTTTGAATTTTCCAGGTAAAAATAATAATATGGGAAATAAAACAATACAATTACTGAATATTTTTATCTATTTTTAGAGAGAAAAGGTTGTAAATGGTCACATCTTACAGGTCACATCTTGCACGTCACATGTTGTAGTGGCATGTTACACGTCACATGTTGTAGTGCACTGTTGCAGGTCACATGTTGTAGTGGCATGTTGCAGTTCACATGTTGCAGTGATATGTTGCACGTCACATGTTGTAGTGGCATGTTGCACGTCACATGTTGTAGTGGCATGTTGCACGTCACATGTTGTAGTGGCATGTTGCACGTCACATGTTGTAGTGGCATGTTGCAGGTTACATGTTGTAGTGATATGTTGCACGTCACATGTTGTAGTGGCATGTTGCACGTCACATGTTGTAGTGGCATGTTACATGTCACATGTTGTAGTGGCATGTTGCAGTTCACATGTTGCAGTGATATGTTGCAGGTCACATGTTGTAGTGGCATGTTACACGTCACATGTTGTAGTGGCATGTTACACGTCACATGTTGTAGTTGCGTGTTGCATGTTGCACGTCACATGTTGTAGTGGCATGTTGCAGTTCACATGTTGCAGTGATATGTTGCAGGTCACATGTTGTAGTGGCATGTTACACGTCACATGTTGTAGTGGCATGTTACACGTCACATGTTGTAGTTGCATGTTGCATGTTGCACGTCACATGTTGTAGTGGCATGTTGCACGTCACATGTTTTAGTAGCAAGTTGCAAGTCACATCTTGTAGCAGCATGTTTCACGTCAAATGTTACACTCATATCCCCAATACAAAACTGATACCCTTCAACTTAAAGGGATATTTTTACCCATATCCACACTATTCTTTTCTAATCCTACAAAATAGTGATATTTTGAACTTATGTCCCCTCTAGAAAAAGGGATATTTGTACTTTTTCACGTCACAAATGTGATGTGTTACAAGTAAGAAAAGACGTGTTCTCCTGACACCACGCGTGTTGCCCATCTGCTCATCCCCACGGCAATGTTTATGTTCGTTCTATTCACTGTTAGATGACTTACAGCCTAAGACTTTTTTTATTTTTGGATTACTGTCCACGTGACGTGAGCATTTGCGATTGGAATCAATAATGAGAGAATCTGATCAAATACAGCTGATTGCTCTCGATGTAGGCTCGCCTTATGGTTGTTGTGATAATGCATTGACTCGTGGAAGGGGGAGATGGTGGTTTGTGAGGTTTGCCTATACTTCCTTATGCAATAAAATAAAAAAAATCCAAAATATTTTCTTTGAAGGCGCCCTGGCTGTTGTAGTTCGAACATTGGGCGTATCATTGGTGGGCGTATCATTGGTGGGCGTATCATTGGTGGGCGTATCATTGGTGGGCGTAT